GGAGCCTATGTTTCTGTCCCTGATGTGGGTAAAGTCACAGTGCACAGCAAATGCAGCCACACAGTTCATTTCATCCACACAGCTGCAGAAAGATAAGTCAGATGACGCTGACAGAAACAGGAAACGTGACAATTGGTCAGTGTCAGAGCAGAGCCGCTTCCCTTTTCTGCAGAAGAAGAAAGGCTTCATTCACATTAATGTCAAACTTCCAAAGTAAACACTTACATTTTAGAGGAAAACTACAGTACATGCTTACACACTAATGTTCCTTCATATCCATGTTGCCAGTGAGCTGGAGATACAGGTCCCTTCTATGAGATAGGGTTGTTCTGAGCTGTTTAACTATGACCACATTAAAAGTTGCTTGCTGATCACATTCTACAGCTGCAGCTGTTGGTTGGTTCCTAATGTGCAAGAGAGGTTGGGTTCTTTCTCTTCTGTTAAACCCTGTGACCAGCTGTAGATTAATGTAATTAGTTGTAATTTCTGGGAGCATCCTCCTCCACAGGTGTCTGAAGTTGGCTGCATTTGTATTGCTGCTATAGGCCTAGGCTGCTCCCATGATGCACCTAGCTCCTCTCCTCCCTCCTTTTTCCTCCCCACTGACACCAAGTGCTTCTCAGGGGGATGTGTTGGGTTTTCCTCTATAACACTATGAGGCCTGGACCCGACTGTGTAAAGTGCCCTGAGATGATGGTTGTGAATCGGTGCCATACAAATACAATAATAATAATAATAAACTTTATTTATATAGCACTTTACAACTCCGAAGAGCACAAAGTGCTGCACAGTGGAACATATGTATCAACAAAAAAATACTAAAAACAATCAGTCCAAAAACATGTTTATAAAATCCTAGCAATAAAAAGTTTCATCAAAATAAAATAGTATAAAACAACAAGTTAACTATGTCCCTTTGGGGCAGATAAAATGGATTAACAACAAAAGCCTATTTAAAAAGGTGAGTTTTTAAAGTAGACTTAAAAACCGCTAGCTCGGTTATAGACCGAAGCTCAGGTGCTAATGAATTCCAGAGTCTAGGACCATAGACAGCAAACGAGCGGTCGCCCCATTTTTTGGATCGGGCCTGCGGAACAACTAAGGACAAGGGCTCAGCAGGGTTCGGCGCGGAGCATAGATAGATAGCAGCTCCGACAGGTGCGGTGGGGCAAGGCCATGTATGGCTTTAAAGACAAATAGCAGCATCTTAAAATCAACTCTCCATTGTACTGGCAGCCAATGTAGTGAAAAAAGACCTGGGGTAATGTGGGCATACCTGGGAGTGTTTGACAACAGCCGAGCAGCTGGTTTTGAACAAAACTTTTGGGTGTTGACTGTTTTCTGAAATAATATTAGCTAGATATTGAGTTTTGGCCTCTTTTACAGCTTTCTGATATGAGAGGAAGCTGTCTCTTAAAATGTCCAGGGAAATGTGCAGGCGATCCTTCTTCCATTTTTGCTCCGCCTTCCTGCACCATCTCCACAGGGCGAGTGGTGTCGTTCAGCTAAGGTTCATAATTATTTTTAGCCCTCCTTTTCCTAAAGGGAGCAATGGACTGCATAATCTGGAGACAAGTAGAGTCGAATAAGGAGAGGAAAGCATCGGGGCATGCAGGGGGGTTCTGGGCTTCTAAAGAGTAGAACTTGGAAGCTAAAAAAGCAGTGGCAATAATAATAATAATAATACTTTATTTATATAGCACTTTACAACTTGAAAGGGGCACAAAGTGCTTCACAGCAAAACTTATGTACTCTGAAAAAATAAAAAAAAAACAACCTAAAATAGATTAAAACACACACTTTAGACTTTAGTGGCAATGTCCGGCGCCATTGAGGGAGTGATAATCCTATGCTGGGGAGGGGCCATCACTCTGGGTGCTCTTGTTGGTGCCAAGAAAAGTGGATGAAGAAGTGATCCGTGATGGCCAAATTTGATACATCGCTGATACACACAGACAGGCCTCGAGAGATAACGAGGTCTAGCATGCCCCCACGTTGATGAGTATAGTACCAACCGGGCAAAGTACCGACTGGATGAGATCAAAAGAGACCAGCAATTCGTTAAAATCATTTGCTAGCTGATCCGAACCACAGTTTACATGAATATTGAAGTCTCCACAAATCAAAAAACTGTCAAACTGTGGGATCAGTGCCACCAAAAATTCCCCAGATTCATTTATAAAATCCTTCAATTTAGGGGGGCGATATATTAGTGCACATAAAATAGGATGGTGCAGTGTTAACATAAAAGTTTTTAGCTCAAAGCTGGAATAGTCGTTAGAGGGGAGAGGACGACATTTTAGGGTTGGCTTAAAAACAGCTGCCAGACCACCACCTCTACCAGCCAAGCAGGGAGTATTAAAAAATAAATAATCAGCTGGTAGAAGCTCAGAAAAGAGACTATCACCTTGTTTCACCCAGGTTTCAGTGATAAGAAACATATCCAGGTCATGTGCACAAATAAGATCATTAAAAATGAAAGTCTTATTATTAAGCGATCTTATGTTCAAGAGAGCAAAGTGAAGTGGACTTAGCTTATCCTGCGGGAGGCCGGCCCAAGCCACTGGGTGAAGGTTGGTCTGGGAACAAAAACTTTCAAAATCGAGCTATATATTTCAATGGTATAAGGTTTAGAAAAATCCTTAAGACAAGCATGAATGTCCTTGAAGAGCTGAACATTTTGATAGCTGAAATTATGCTGAAATTGAATTTTCCCATTCATTTGAATGCTAAATATTTTAAAAATATTTAGCATTCAAGTATGAAAGTTGTAAAAAAAATTGAATACATGCCATAATGGCCTGAAAAACCTGAGCATTTTGATACCATTTGTAATGTTTCCATGCTTGTGAGGCACCTCCACACCCTCATGATTATTCCAACTACTTCCACATCATCTGTGGGCTCAGGACTGTCTGCTCCATTGTCATCTGGCAAAACCAGCCACATTGTCGTCATTGTTAAAATCTTTTCTCTTGTAAACGTAGACCACAATGTTTAAAAACACTTTTAATAAAGTACATATCTCATCTCTATGTATCTTGTCCTAGTGGATTTTCTCATTCTAGGCAGCAATTTGCCAAATAGTGTATTATACTGCATGGTGTCACTGTTGAAGTGGGTATTCCTCCCTGACCACAGGGGGAAGCATTAAGCAAATTGCTGCATGGCACATCAAAATGAGAGGAAGAAGGTGACAAACTGACGGGCTGGGGCTATCTTCTACTGGAATGCACTCTGGTTAACAAAAATTAAAATATAATAAAAGACAAAGGTTCAACTAGAAGAGTATCAGTTGACTGACAGGTTTCTCAACTAGTCTACTTTCAGGGCCAGCCCAATTGTGATGCAGTGTGTCCTGACACCTGTTATTCATAGCCATCATTACGTTTTCAGGAATTTGTGCTGTCATAGCTCTTCTATGGGATCAGAGCAGACTTCACTTTCCACATGCATCAGTCAGCCTTGGGCGCCCATGATCCTGTCACAGATTCTGTGGTTGTCCTTCTTTAGACAGTTTTTGGTAGGAACTGACCAGCAACACCCAATAAGACCTGCAGTTTGAGAGATGCTCTGACCCAGTTGTCTAGCCATTGCACTTTGACCCTTGTTAAAGTCACTCAGATCCTTATGTTTCCCATCTTCTGTTTGCAGCACATCATCTTCAAGAACTGACTGTTCAGCTGTTGTGTTATATTCCATCTTTTGACGTGTGTCATCGTAATGAGATAATCACTGTCTTTACATTCACTTCCTGTCTGTCCGTCTGTCTCTGTATTGGTTGTATACGGCCTGTACAGCCTGTTTAAATCATAAAATAATGCTGTGTAATTCTTTTCTTTCACAGGGCTCTCTTATGCCCACCCCCCCCCACCACCTTTCTGTGGGGACCATCAACCTCCACCTTCATTCCTCCAATAATGACATCCTCAGGCTCCCCCCCACTTGTCTTACCTTCCCCGGTGCCCTCCTCCCCAGCTCCATCTTCCTCCTCCCTCCCTGCCCCACACTCATTGCCTCCCACAGGGGAGATGATGGTGCTGGCTCTTGGCAGGAATAAGCAGAGGGTGCTGATTGTTCTTTCCATCCTGCCCAACCTCTTCCTGGCCTTCCTGCTCTCTTCTGATCCCTTCATTACCCTCATCCCACCCCACCACTGCCACCTGCCAAGGACCCTGCCATCACCAGATGTACTTAATTACTCTCTCCCCTGGGAGAAGGGGGCAAGGCCTGGGGATAGTGGGGGCCTGTCGCAGTGTAAGCAGTATGTCAATGGCAGCCAGTCAGCCGTGGTGGACTGCGAGCAAGGCTGGGATTACAACATCACAGAAGGACTAAGGAACAACATCGTAACTGAGGTATAGCTCTGGCCTGGAATACTGTTAAGCTTTCTAATTATGGTTCTGGCCTCCTTTCACTGTTCCAACTTTTTCTGGGGAGGCTACATTTTTGTTTGTGTGGACTAAAGATAGTTTCCTTTTTATCCTGTCTTTGTTCTTGCTAGGCATGTACTCTCTTTTGCTGTACAGTGATACATAATTCTATCTGTAATTCTACTTTTGGGTAGCTGCTGAGTTGTTCCCCTGAAGCCTCATAAGACCAAACTAGTTTTTCTATATATGTTTCATTCTGTATTGCTTTTATGTTAGATTAATAGTGATCGTTTTCCAAAGTGTATGAGTCTTGGATCTTGCTGATTGGCAGTCCATCATAGCATTTAATTTCCATTACTTTTGAGTTGTTTTTGTGGTTGTTTGGGGAGCTGCTGCTCTAAATATATGCTTTGGAATTGGATAATCAGCAGTTTGTAACATGCGGAAACACAGGAATTCTTTGCCCAAGAGCATCAAATCAACAGTTTATAAAGCGGGGGCTGGGGAATGTTAAAGGTCACAAGTTATGCTCATTTTCAGGATTATTTTGTTATTTAAAGTTTCTACTAGAAAAGGTTTACACCCTTTGTATGTTCATAGAGTTTCTGAGTTTCCTCAGAGCACCAGACCCTCTCTTTCTCTCTGTGTGAACACGTTTTGTTTTAGCTCCTGGTCCCCCTGCCTAGTGAAGGTCCCTTGATGCAGTAGGTCAGCTCCCACATCGCTGAACGGGGGCCGCCTACCCAACTCCAAGCCGTGTTTGGGGATTCCAGACAGCTCTAGTCTTCAGCGTTAGCTCTGCTAAAATTGTTAGCCACTGTTAGCTGCATTTATACCACAAATTTCACCATAACTGCTTCTAAACCAAAAACTAAACAACCACAGAGGTCACAGATTTTCGAGCAGGAGCCTGCTTCTGTCACAAATCTGCTACTGTCGCACCACTATTGTTGTCACACCTGGGCAGTGTTGTCTAATGCAGAAACAGTAATAACATATATACATGAAGTTTAGTGCTGTTAGAACAGTGCTAGATAAAGAAAGTCACTTTCAGCTTTTTAGGGGTCGCCACAGCGAATGGTCATACTGACGACTCACATGTTGACATTTGGCACGTGTTTTACGCCGGATGCTCTTCCTTCCTGACACAACCATGATTCGAACCCGGGGTGCAGTGGCGGGAGCGCTGCGCCTTAACCACTAGCCTACCAGGGACGGCTTAGAACAGTGCTAGATAAACAAGCAAAATTTGGCTAAAAAATGTTCAAATAACTTCTCTGGTACATTCTGACTGTACATCAAAATTACTAGGCCCAACACTTAACTAACCTGTTCCTGCCATTTGGCCTGTGATACGAGCTACTGTTAACTTACAAAGTGAGGTATAAGGTATTGACCTTATTATTATTATTATTATTACTATTATTATTATTATTATTACTATTATTATTATTACTATTATTATATAAAGAAAACCCACCAATCCCCCCTTGAGCAAGCACTTGGCAACAGTGGGGAGGAAAAACTCCCTTTAACAGGAGAAACCTCCGACAGACCCCGGCTCTTGGTGCGTGGCCTTCTGCCTTGACCGGTTGGGGTGAGTGGATAGAGAAGAGAGAAAAAAAGAAAAGCAACAGAACACAACAAACAAACACTGGTCAGGCTGATGTGGCCGGTGCCTGCTCATCAGAGACATAGAGCTCCAGAGCCAGGGCAACCTGCAGAAAAGTACAGGGAGAGAGAGAGGACACACTACGGGAGAGAGGAGACACAAAGTTAGTGATGTGTAATGGTGGCATATAGAAGCATAGGGAGAGAGGAAAGGAGAGGGGAGGGGAGGGGAGGAGAGGAGAGAAACTCAAAGCATCATGGGGCTCCCCAGCAGCCCAGGCTGTCATCTAAAGTAACTATATGATTAGACAGCAGATTTCTAAGGTTTTCAGGCCCAAGCACAATGACTTCAGTTTTGTCAACTGGTACTGAAGTAAATAATGATGGAATTATTTCCTTAAACTTGGTAACAGCATTGTCAGACAGACATCTACTATAGTGGAATTTTTTCCCACATAGTCGCCACCCATGATGCAGAGATACTCTATTATTAACACCCTGATTCCCACAATCCCCTTTCTATAATTTGTTGCTATTAATTCAGTACTTAACAAGTGATGAATCCATTATCCAATTCATGGAAACTGTGGTGTTATATTGTTTGTTCTCCATTGCTGCTGAAACATTGAAATTTCCCCATTGAGGGATCAATAAAGTACCTACCTATCATATTAATCACATTCACACAGCATTGCATCAGCCTGTTTTGTTAACTTTTTAATAATAGGTTCTTTTGGTGGAGATGCTACCTGTAGCCTGTGCAGAAAGCTGGTGCTCAGAAGCTTTTAGTTTGTTCAGACTGAAGAAAGCTGGTGCACAGAAGCTTTTAGTTTGTTCAGACTTTGTAAAAACTGGCTCTAACCTCTGTCCAAGGTCCCAGGAAACCCCACTTCCTGGCTAGCTTGCCAAAAATGTGGGAGAACTTTATCCCAGGGTCAGACAGGATCCAGTTCTCACCCACATAGTTCTCTATCTGCTATCAAAAATCACTCAAAGTCTAAACAGCCTGTTACAAAGTGTAAGATCTACTGACGGAAAATCAAAAATACCCCAGTAGGATGTGTTTCTAGTCAATGGAGCAGAATGATTGCAGAGCTTGAGAAGTTCCTTTTATGCTCTCTATAGCTCCTCCGTGCCTGGGACTTGCTTCATCCCACTTTTTTTTCTGAACTACTTAGGGATGTACTATTATTTCTTTGGTCAATATAAGTTTAAAAAAAAAATAAAAATGACCTCTAATGGCAAATACAAATCATGCTGACTCCTTCAGATTCAAGACTAGGTTACAAGATTGACACCGCTCGTTTCATAACACATAAAAAAGAAAATCCCTCTTTACATAGCTTCACAACTAAGGTTGTATCGGTGACCCCCCCCCTTACCTGCTGTCAAGGCCATCATCCTTCCTGGGCAGCCATCTAAGCCACAGACTGATACATTTTTTCTCTCTCTCTCTTGTCTGCTTTATGCCAGCTTTAAGAAATTTTAAATTCTGTAGTTTGAATTACAGTTTGGTAGGCTCTGTTTCATTGGATGGAAACTATTACTCATATAATCATTTTAATTTCATTCATTTATTGATTTGATCAGGGACAATGCACAGATTTAGCCAAAAGACTAATTTGTCTGTGGTCCCTGGACAGGTTGATGTAAATTGGGACAAATGGCAGAATATTGATTGAAGAGCCAATAAATGAAGTTAATAGCAAAAAATGTTTGGGGACAGTGTGTCTATCGGTTTGATTTTCTATGTACACTTGGTGTCATGATGCAGTGGTTAGCATTGTCACCTCATAGCAAGCAGATCCTGGATTTAAACTACCCTTTCTGTGTGGAGTTTGCATGTTGTCCTGTGCCTGCATGGGTTTTCTTCAGGTATGCTGGGATCCTCCCACAGGCCAAAGACCGATGGTTACGTACAGTAACCCAAGCTTCTATGAGTATAGGCGTAGCCCTCTAAGAGCTGTCGCTGTCGGGTTTATCCCTCGCACATGTGCAGTCCTGAAGAGATTCTTTCGCTCCCTGTGTCCTGCACTGGGCTGTCCCCAAAACAGGTCCGCTATGATGGCATAAATGCCACTGTGACCTGTGATTGGCTCCCTACACCAGTACTTTTTCTTCAGCTGGCAGGTGTGGAGACAGCAGGGCTGCCAGCTTAGAGAGCTATGCCTATACTCATAGAAGCTTGGGTTACTGTACATAACCATCGTTCTATTTCATATAGGCTTTGCCCTCTAAGAGCTGTTGCTATTGGGATAAAAGCGCAGCTGGATGTAGTCAATGCCCTGTTGGCACACCGCCGCCCAAGAGCATTAAGACACACCTCAGCTTGCCAACATACCCCATAATATCAGCCCAAACAACATCCATTCTCCTGTATCAGGCCTTGCCTGAGAAGCAGGTGCAATCATGCCCATATAAACACCTGACTGCCACTGTAAGAAGGCAGAATGGCCATTCTGTTAACAGGGGAGGAGAAGTGCAGGGAAGAGGGCACAAATAACAGTTAAATTGCAAGAGCATACAGGTGCTAGCAGTGTGCAGAGATAATCAGATGCCTGTATTACGCAGCTGTTGTCTCACAGTAATAATAGCAATATTACCAACGGAGAACATGGGTACCATGGAGAGCGTACAGACAGAGTGCGTGTGGCACACACACACACACACACAGCGGGTACAACGGTGGCTTGCATTGATAGTACAGTCAAGTGAGTGTACATGGCTAACAAGCAATCACCCGAGCAAGAAAACACACAGCCAGTGAGACAGCCGTGGTTTGGATAAAGGCTGTCCAAGAGAATGTCTCCTACAATGAACAAAACAGTTGTTGTGTCTGTCTGACAGCTGCCGTGCACCCCACGTAATGGGACAGCACGCGCACCGGACAGAGAGCATGAAGTTCTTTTTCTGACTCATCTCTGTGGGGTGGAGGAAAGAATCCATCCAGGTAATGACTCTGGATCGAACAAAGGATGTTATTATTTTTGATGGACAGGCAGGATTCGGTCTCAGAATGGCTGAGCTGCCATCTTTGTGTATGAGAAGGCATGCCGGTGAGACACAGTGCGCACAGATGGCCCACTCGCTTAGCCAAAGTTAGGGCTAAGAGAAGTGCTGTTTCCAGAGAGAGATGTTTGAGAGAGATGTCTGTTATGGGCTCAAGGGGGGGGTTCCCCAAGCGTGTGTAAAACCAGAGGTAAATCCCACTGAGGTGCCACTGAACACATCATAGCCTTGTCTGCCTATACCCCTGAGAAAGTGTTTCACCAGCGGGTGTGCAAAAAACACAATTCGCTCAACAAAGAGAAAGAGAGCCGGGATGAGAATCAGCACCTCCAAATCCGAGGCCATGGTTCTCAGCCGGAAAAGGG